GATGCTCTCTGACCTAGTAAACCCTGGTGTCCTCATCTCCTTCCAGGCCTGCTTTTTTCAGTTCTACATCTTTTCCATGGGGACCACCGAGTGCCTGTTCCTCTCGGTCATGGCCTTGGATAGGTACCTGGCCATCTGCCACCCCCTGCGCTATCCCATCCTCACGTCCACACACAGGTGCTGGGCGATGGCCTCCTCCTGCTGGCTCATTGGCTTCCTGTGGTTCATATGCCCGTCACCCTCATCTCCCAGCTGTTCTTCTGCGGCTCCACCCTGGATCATTTTGTCTGTGACCCGGCCCCATTGCTGGCTGTCTCCTGCACCCCAGCTCCCCGGACTGAACAGGCGTGCTTCGCCCTGACCACCTTTGTCATCCTTGGCACTGCCGTCTTCACCCTGACTGCCTACGGGCTTATCATCAGGGCTGTGCTGCAGCTGCCCACAGGGGCCGGGCGGCACAAGGCTTTGTCCACCTGCTCCTCGCACCTGACCATTGTGGGCCTGTTCTGGGGCTTTGGCCTTGTCAACTACATCAGTCTGGCGGCCTCAGGGGGCAGTCGGAAAATGGCAGCCCTCTTCTACGCGGTGGGGACACCCCCTGCTCAACCCGCTAATCTACAGCCTGAGGAACAAGGAGATGAAGGAGGCTCTGAGGAGGACCCTGCTGGGGAAGCGGTAGTGGGTTCTGCTCTGTCCCCAGCATGCAGGGACTGGCCGGTCATGGGGGTGGGCAATGGGATATGGGTCCCTTCTCCTCCAGGGGTACTGGCTCCAACCCTCCAAACACAGCATTTTGCATGACCTTTAGGGGTCACTGGTAGTATAAAAAATGCCTGTCTGATGCTACAGCCAGAACACAAGGTGAGCAGGGTGTCTGCGTGTGTGTCCCTTGCTGGAGGAAATGAGCCCTGCTCAGTGTGTGTTTGCAGGGGGTAGGAGAGCAAACTCTGTGTATGTGCGGGGAGTCTGGCTCGCATTTCTGCCTGTTTTGTGCAGCTTTATGTCAAGGCGGTTATCTGGATCAATGTGTTCTCACACTTAGAGCCAGATGGAAAAGTTCTGCCCATCTTTTCACTGCTGTTCGTCCAGAGAAGCCCCAGTGATGTCCACAGACTGACAGCTGGAACCCAACTCATGGCAACGCTATCTTGTATGTTATGGATTGCACTCCCCTCCCACAGCCAGGGATAGAACCCAGCAGTCCAAGCCTCCCTAATCTAACCGACTCAACCCCACTAGCCTCTCACAGCCAAGGAAAGAACCCAGGAGTCCAAACCCCCAAATCTAACCCACTCAACCCCACTCGCCTCCCACAGCCAGGGGTAGAACCCAGGCATCCTAGCACCCCGATCTAACCTAGGAGTTTTCAACTAGGGGTATGTGTACCCCTGGTCTTCTGGGGGTACATCAACTCATCTAAATATTTGCCTAGTTTTACAACAAGCTACATAAATGGTTTGAGTTTGGGTTTTTGTATGGGAGGGGTTGTTGTCTCTTTCTCAAAGCGTCAGGGATGGCCAGTGCTGGCGATGGGACATCGGGTCGGGTGGACCAGGGCTCTGAGGTGGCACCCAGCATTCTCTGATCGGGTGCTCGGCTGGCTGGTTCTTGCTCACATACTCTAGGTCTAACTGATTGCTCTGTGTAGAATGCGGAAGGAATTTCCCCCCAGATCAGATTGGCAGTGACCTTGGGGGTTTTGCTCCTTCTTCTGCAGCGTGGGATGTAGCTCATTCATCAGGGTTATCTGGGTGTATCTCACTTAACCCTTTCCCTGCTATTGCTGGGGCTCTGGTGCCCCTCAGTCCCTGCTATTCTCTGCGTGTGTCACATAACAGTTTAGCTTCCTGAGGGCTCCCCTAATTTGGTCTAATTTCAGCTGCTGGGTGGTGTTGGTGGCCCGTGATCTACAAACGGTCAGACAAGGTGATCTGGTGGTCCCTTGTAGCCTTAAACTCTAACCCAGGAGTCCAGACTTCCAGACCCTGTTCTAACCCACTGGATCCCACTTCCCCATTCCTCTCCAAGAACAATGGATAGATCCCAGGAGTGCTGACTACCCATCCCTCCCTGCTGTAAGCCACTGGACCCCACTGCCCTCTGAGAGCTGGTAAAAGAACCCCAGAGTCCTGGCTCCCAGTCCAGCCCTCTCACCACTAGACCCACACCCCCACTGTATCAATTTTAGGCATTAAAGAAGGCTGTCCGTCTCTGAGGGGCATCCATCTGTTATCTTTCAGGGGAGTTTGAGCCACTTAATAAAGCACATGGACCAGACTGCAAATCCCTTGGCGTAATTAGCTTGTTTTGATGTCTTAACTCTTCTCGCTCTGGGTAGTGATGATTTGGGCCTCTGGCGGAGCCAATTAAAGAGCTGAGCTGAGATTGCCTCTGGTTTCATCCAAGTGCTAGGAGACGGGTAGGGGCTGTGGGTCAGGACTGGGAGTCCCAGGCGGAGACGGGAGCTGTGTCTCCAGGGTGCAGTCAGCTCTTGGTCTCTGGCAATGAGCAGAGCTATTCAGTCTCAGGTTCACATGGACCCCTGCTCTGCTGGGAACGAGCCCACTCATTACACCTGGGCCCCACTGCATAGAGCAGGTGGGCGTCACTACTGAAAGGGGGCCTAGTTCATCAGGGTCCAACACAAGGCGGATGGGGTGAGAGACCCCCTGTCCTGGGACCACACTCCTCACTCAGGCACAGTAGAACAGACCTAGCGCAGAAATGAACAGTCAGCTACTGTCCTGAGGGACAGGAAGCCTCCCAGTCCCCCTCTGAGATGGGAGCTCCAGCAGGGATGAACCCAGCACCTGACAGCCCATGGAGAGGAGCAGGGGGAGGAAATCACTTGAAAAGTTCCCTTGTCCCCGTTGTCATTCCTGCATGCCCCACCCCTGTTGTTACCAGGCTCCCTCCCATGTCTGGAGACATAAGGGGCTAGATCCACACAGGGAACTTACACCCAGTGGTGCAGCACCTAACATTTAGGTTCCTGCTGCCCATTGCAATCCAGAGCCCCTAGGTAGGTGGCCAGGCTTCATAGACCACACATGGGGATAGACAGGTACCTACAGCCCGGAGCCACCAAAACTAACCAAAGGGAAATGCCGAGGAGAGGGATGGGGCCAAAGTCCGACCCTTCAAAGGGGCGCAGGCACCTATCACAACTGGGACCCCTCTGCGGGAGGCAGGAACCTAGGACGAACCTGTGAATTTGCCTAAATCCTTTTACGAACCATCTGTAAGGCTCTGTGCTGATCCCCTTGGCGGCGCTTGCCCCCTGGGGGAAGGAATTAGATCTCTCCCTGGGCCGTGACAGACCAGGCCAGGTATTCACAGAGCCACTAGGACCTTCTGGACTGGAATGAACGCATTGGGATGGAAGACCCTAGAGAGACGCGGGGAACCTCAGGGACCCAAGACGAACCCCTAGCTGCAGAGCCAGCTAAACGTGTTGGTGGCTGTGTCCAGAGGACAAAGACATGGAGGGGGCAGGTGACTGGGTCAATAAGAGCTGGGCTCACCCAGGTAACTTGTGTGCTGGGGACTGAGGGCCAAAGAGAGCAGAATGGGGTGTGGGGGAGCAGGGCATGGACAGGCCCGGCTCTCACCAACAGGAACTGTAACCCAAGCCTGCCTCCCTCCTATTAACCCAAAGCCTGGCGGCCTGCAGCCAGAGGACTGATAAAGGATCCCCTTGGGTTGAAAAGGCTGCCTGGTATTGCTGCAGATCCGGCCTGAGGACACTGCGCCCTGCAGGGATGGAACAAGCCTCCCCCAGGAGTTTGGCTCAGCCAAGGAACCCCAGAAAGAGACAGGGATCACTGGCGCCCCCAGGCCGAGACGGGGAAGCCTGGCCCTCTGGAGCTGGGTGGATCCTTGGGGCCGGCCCACTAAGGGGGAACTTCCAGGATATTTGTCTGCAGGTCTCCCACTGTGCAGGGGGGCTGGGCTGTGCAGCAGAGCTGGCTCTTGGTCTCTGCTGTTCCACTTTGTATGATGCAGTCCTTGGCTCAGGGACTTGAGCCTGACTTTCCCCCTCCCGGCTGGGTGCCCTGACCACTGGCCTATAGAGTCAGTCCCACCAGCTCGCGGCTGCTTGGTTATTTGACACCCATAGGAGGCTTCGAAAAGACCCAGAACAGAATGCGCCCCCCACCCCCCAATCGCCCAGCAGGCAGGACCCTAGAGTGAGGATCTCAACTGGGGTCTCCCCCATCCTAGGTAAGTGCTCCAACCACAGACCTCCAGAGAAATGGTTCTCACCCGGTGCTGGGAGGGCCTACGGATTATATCTCCAGGGTCCGCGAAAGACAGACTGAAAACAGACTGACCAGAATCCAGCTATATGTACAGACGACAGATTTCCAAGTGGCTCCATGCTGCCACTCGAAATTTCCAAAGGGGTCTGCATCGCCATTCGAAACTTTTTAGGAGCCCACCAATGAAAAAAGGTTGAGAACCGTTGCTCTAGAGTATGCAGGAGCGTTCCCTCCTCCTCCAGGGCTTAGACTGAGCAAGGGGTCACGACTGAGGGGACTGGTGCAGGCCCACTGACAGCAATTTAGGGACCCACCAGGTTAGGCAGCAACTGAGGGGGATTTGGAGGATATAAGGGTATGCCTACACAGCAACTAGATAGCTAGGACCCTCCAACTTCGCAGGGTCCTAGAGCCCTGACATCTACACAGCAGTGAAACAGTCGCACAGCCTGAGTCCCAGGAGCCTGAGTCGACTGACATGGGCCAGCCACTGGTGTCTACTCACTGTATAAACTCTCTGTGGATCTGCCCGAGTCACCTCTTCTATCTGAGTAGTTTTCCCTCTGCACTATGGGGCTGCCTTAGTTCCGGGGGCCTGACCAGCTGCTCAGAGTCAGAGCTGCATCTTCATTTACCTTCCTGAGAGAAATAATCGATACATCGTGAACATCAAACAGAGACAGACAGAGAGGTGGTTGTGTAGGGGGATGGATGGACTGACACGACTCACCGACCATGAACCTCATCGATAATAGATTTTATTCATTACAAAAGAAAAAAACAAACCTTTAAACATATAAAATTATAAAACAAAATGAACCTTCCAAAATAAATATACCACCACTCTGTACACCTAGAGAGCAGGGCCCCAGGCCAGACCAGCTCTGTACACACAGAGAGAGCAGGGCCCCGGGCCAGACCCGCTCTGTACACACAGAGAGCAGGGCCCCGGGCCAGACCCGCTCTGTACACACAGAGAGAGCAGGGCCCCAGGCCAGACCAGCTCTGTACACACAGAGAGAGCAGGGCCCCAGGCCAGACCAGCTCTGTACACACGGAGAGAGCAGGGCCCCAGGCCAGACCCGCTCTGTACACACGGAGAGAGCAGGGCCCCGGACCGTACCCGCTCTGTACACACAGAGAGAGCAGGGCCCCGGGCCAGACCTGCTCTGTACACACAGAGAGAGCAGGGCCCCGGGCCAGACCTGCTCTGTACACACAGAGAGAGGAGCAGGGCCCCGGACCGTACCCGTTCTGTACACACAGAGAGC